AGGCCATGTCAGGCCAGGAGACAGAGTGGCAAGATACCTGAGTTACTGTTGGAACACTCTTCCTGCTATCCTGGAAGAAGACAAGTTCAGACTCGAGGTCAACATGCCTCCTAGGAAAGGGACAGGCTTAGATGAGCTCCAAAGGAAGACACACAATTTAGACTAATAGTGGATGAATTTTAGGAAACTATACCTGAATGTTAACTATGGGTTGTGATCAGTGTTCTCACCTGTTGTAAGGATGAAGGCAAGGTCTCCCGTGGATTTTATTCACCACATAGTCTATGGTTAGGGGAGTTGCCAGATGCAGGTCTAGGGCATGAAGTCAGACACTCAGTTATAGGAGTGATACAGAAAGACATAGATGGCCAAAAAGAGCATGAAAAAACATCCCTTATAAAGGAAATGCAAATTAAAACCACCATGAGATACTGCTTAACCTCAGTCATTGTGGCTAAGATTAAAAGTACAACAAGTGAGTTGCTGCAAGGCTGCAGTAAAAGACCCCTCCTACCCTGTTGCTGGAGATAAATTAGTAAGCTACTGTGGAGGAGTGGCTCATTTTATCTGGCTGGTCAGTGAAGACACTGCATCATTTTCAGAGCCGAGATGATCATTGTCTGACTTGCACATTGAACACAATACTAACACATCAGACAGAAGTGACTTTTGGGGATTGGAATAGTTGTCGTAAGATCATGAAGTAATAGACCATGTTTAGCTTTTGGGTTGTGATGAAGGCACTTCTGTATATGATGGTACCATTAAAGATGCTGTGAGGGATCAAGTCTAGGAGGGGAAGCAAGTGAGTTTGTTACAAACTATGATTAGCTAAACCCTATGATTTAGCTCTGGTAAAATCTAACTCGTGATGGGTAGCTCCAACTGGCATTTTTGTGTCATGTTCAGAACGTAACCTGGATTGAGGTCCAGAACTTCTACATCATAACCTATTTCTCAAATGGAAATTAATTCTCTGCCATGGAAAATGTGGCCTTGGTCTGGTATGCTAAGGTGGTTCTTCATAATAGTTTGGTTTGCAAAGGTTGCACGCAGTATTGTGCATCACAGGTAACTCCAGGATCATACTACTTGTTAGATCATGTAGGCCACATTGCAGGGCACTTTTTACTGTGGTGGGCATTTTCCTTGGACTTAAGGATTAGTAAGTTCACCAGATGCTTCCAGGACCATGGCATTTCTCAAGACAAGGGCAGTGTTCTCCAGATAACCCTGTGGTAGGGTATCCTATCTCTCATGAAGAAAACTCCTGAAAACTTCTCACTTGTTCTACAGGGTGTTACTTCTGGGAGTAGATGCCTTGACGGATTCCCGTATTCCCGTATTCTGGGATCGGAATGTGATATGACCTCAACACACTGAGGGCCATGGAGACCTCCTGTGGGTTGGTGCTCCCCTGGTGCATTCTCAGGGTTGGGAAATTCATATTCAAGCACTGGTGATTAGAACACTTTAGCAGCCATATCCCATGCCCAGGGGCATGGTGCTTCACTCCAGAGTGGTGTTAGAAAGGGTGGACAAGAGGGAGCAAATCAAGGCCATGATATTAATCAGGGTCTTATGAATGCTAAGTGTCTCTTGATATGATGGAACTCCGGAGACCGCATAGGTCCCATTTCAGGTGTTCCAATCTGGAGCCATGGAGCAAAAGTAATTCCTTCTTAGCCATCTGACACTGGCTAAAGCTAACCACTGTAGGGCTATGTATTCCCAGGCCCTTTAGGCTTTCTTGTGGAAGCTTCCAATAGGCACTGGTTTAAGGCAGTCATGTGACAAGAACCTGTTATTCCCACTATGAGAGAGTGACCTAATGAGCTTTTAGTGGAGCACTGACACTCAGAGGGAGGTTCCCCCAAGCCTGGAGCTGGATGGGGGAGAACCCCTGTTTGTTTTTACAAATACTGAAATGGGGAAGCATATCCTTAAAACTGCACATTCTGTGAGTTGTAATTTACAGTGAGACCTAATGTGGTAGTCCAGTTCAGGCTACCCAGAATCATAATAGTCATATCAGCTGATTGGGAGGGGTTCATCCCAACAGCTTCTCCTACCTTCTGTAATTCAGGCCTGTTAGGAGCTGTTTGTTCTATAAAGGTCATATTAACCATTCTCAGGTTTTCTGTAGCCTCAGGGTCCAGGTTAGTAGATTGTAAATTTGATATATTTTCTCCAGACAGGCAAAGGGATCCTCGTTTTCCCTCCCTCCCTGTGAAGCTCTTGGATTTATTTAACTATTCATTTGATTTTATTCCTAATACTCAATTTGACCAGAGACAGAGAAAAAGCAAGCTGCCAGGTCTGGGACTTGAACCGTAGTCAGCCACAAAGTTCAGTGTGTAACTACCATGCCACCTGCCAGCCCCAAAGCTCTTGAATTTTATTTAGACTATTCTTCCAGGGAACCCCTTTTTTAGCACTGTACTTACAGTAGTGTTCGAGGTGAACTCAAGCAGATTCTTCATTCAGGTTCCAGTCAGGTGCCTTCACAGGTGCTGCTGCAGTGGGGTCTGGTGTGTGCTGTGGCTCTGCATGGAGAAGGGCCTAGGCACCTTCGGTAAGTGCCTACTGGCAGTAAGCAGTATGTTAAGCAAGGCTTGAATGTCTTCCCAGGTGGGGCAATGGGTGGATACTATGCTAGTCAAGAGCCCTACCGACTTGGGAGGGTCATCTTAGCATTGGGGTGTGAGGGTGTGGGAATTAGAATTTTTCCAATTCAGTAAGTCCAGGTAGAAGTAGCATAAGTCTAAAAGTACCCAGTGGGCTGTCTGGATATTGGCCTAAGGGACTATACTGTAAGTATAGTCTTTGCCTCTTTAGGGGGAACCCTTTACCCAAACTAGGTGCTCTGCTAGGTCTTAAGAGGAGAGACTATTCCAGACTCACTTTCCATGCCAGTAGAGGGCTAGGTGCCATGTTGGGCTTGGTTGCCCACGTGTTTGGCTGTAGGGGTGGCATGGGGAGCAGGAAGGGCTGTGGTTGCAACTCTGCAGCCAGACACATGGGCAGCAGATGGTGTGGAGGTTAAAGGCACTGGACTCTCACATGGCCAACTGTGGTTAGAGTCCTGGACCTGGTGGCATGCTTTCTCTTCCTCCCTTACCCACCCACCCCCCCACCCTCTCTGGTCAAATTAAAATATTAAATAAAACTCTTAATTAAAATGAAAAAAAGGCCGTCCATTTCTTCTTCAGCGGGGACGGACGTTGCTGTTGAGGCACAGTAACTGCCATGGCTTCCAGTGCTTTGGCAAAACCTCAGATGCGTGGCTTTCTAGCCAAGCATCTGCGATTTCTTATTGTTGGAGCATTCATTGTATCCCTGAGTGTTGCAACTTTCTATAAGTTTGCTGTGGCTGAACCAAGAAAGAAAGCATATGCAGATTTCTACAGAAATTATGATTCCATGAAAGATTTTGAAGAGATGAGGAAGGCTGGTATCTTTCAGAGTACAAAGTGATTTTGGAATGTAAAGAATGTCACTGGATTGGTGCCATGTTCCTGAAATATGAATACATGGGCTAAAGAATAGTTTCTCTTGATAAATAAATACTGTGGACAGAAAAAAAACAAAACAAAACAAAACACAAAAAAACCAAAAACAAACACAAAAAAATTCTCCCAACATTAACTTTTCTCATCTGGTGAATCCTTATGCTTTTACATGAAGGTTTGTCAGTAGGATAATGCAACCATTTCTCAAATCTCTGACAAAACAATTCCAGCTGATACACACTATGATTAAAGATCCATTAATTAGCCATTTTTCTCTGGATCTTAAACATACATGGGCCGAGAAGTATGGCAATAAAACACCATTTCTGTTACCATTGGACTATTGCTGTCAGCAGGCCAATCTGCTAAAATCCATGCCAATGGGCTTTGGGGTGAAATGAAGAGCATCCCATTCTTAGTTTGTTACCAACCTGGAGTTCTCTAAACCTCATTTCCTGTCTACCTTCCTTCAAATGATACCTCAAATGAACAAAATTCTCCTACCTAAACAAATGGCAACTGTTTGAGCTGGCTCATCAGGAGCCCTACAAACACCCCAAGTTGGTTCCCTAGGAGCCCAAATGGCAGGAAAGAAATGTCTTACGTGCACCCTCAGTAGAACTTACCTGGAAGCAAATCAGAACTCCTTCCCCAGAGTTCAATTCCTCTAGCATCATCTTCTAAAAGACCATTTTAAAGCAGCCAGCACCAGGCTAGGGAGGACACAGGACCCGAGACTTCAGAGCTAATTTGGCCCCAACTAAGACATTCTTTCCTGGGAAGCCCAGGCCTGGGTTCAGGTAGCTGTGAGGAGCCAGGGCACCTCTGATTTTATCACTTCCCTCTGGTTCAAGTTGGAAACGGGTGAAGCCTCATTTGTTCCTAAATGAGTGAGCTGCAGTCACTTAGTTCTGGGGGAACTGAGACCGGCCACTAGGAGGCGAACCACAGAATCGGCCATGTAGGATCCAGTTGCGGTAACTGCCCAACCACTGGCAGGCCCCAGGAGAAAATTGTTGTTAATTTATTGACATATATGTCACTTATACTTGGAAGATACCCAGGGGGATACATCTTATCTGTAGCATCTTGAGCAAAAAACCAATACAATTTTAGAAAAGTGAGAAGATAGAGAAAACTTGAGTCTGGGATGTGGGGTGACAGATTGTGGGGAGGTAAGACAGCAGATAAAGGCTGGTTAGCAGAGTTTGTTACAGATTTGCACTGGTGACCCATTTCCAAGGCGATTAAGGATCAAAAGTTACCTTTGGTAACCAGTCTTCGTCCTTTCTGGTAGAGACAGAAAGATAAACTCCTTGGAAACATCCTGTCTCTTTGACAGGAGGGAAGAGGGCAGCTTTTCTTGTCTCCTTCTCTATTGCTTTCAGCCGGAATAATCATGATGCTAAAGTGACAGTCTCATGTCTTCAGGTTCCTTCTTCCTTCCCATTGTAATGACTTTTTGATCACTTTCTTGTTCCTTTTAGCATATCAGGGCATGCCATACTGTCCTCCAGGCATGGAGGTAGGAAATTGCAGGCAGGACATAGGAAGAAAGAAATCCTCTGGGGTGTTGGGTACCCAAGTCTGACCTGTGTGGAGATGCACATGAACCCACCCCTTTTCTCTGCAGAGAGAAGTCTGCCTTGGCCCACACAACACCTAACTCAGAGGCTCTCAGCAAAAAGGCTCCCCAGAGGTGGGGATGGAGCATGAGGTCACAGCCTCAGCTGAACAACACTCTCAGCTCTGGCTATGATGCTGACGGGGCCTTCCGAGCTGCAGTCACCACTCTGTCCTGGTCTCTTCTTCGCTTAGCTTTTTTGAAAAGCTTGCTCTTGTCATCACTCAGCGTTTGCTCAGACCTGACTGCAAAAAAACAGTGCCAACATTTGAGTACCAATGGCCGGAAAAGAGTTCCTGAGACTCCGCATATGCCTCTACCAACAACAAAACAGGAGGAGTGTGGTGATAAGATGTTCCCAAAACACTACAACAGGCCAAATTAGTGTCCTGAAGCACCTTACCACTCAGACAGAATAGTGGAAAAGGGAAGAATTGGGTTACAATTAAGTTTTCGGGGAGCTGTGAATTGCTCATTTGAGGAAGAACTTCGATGCATGTCTTGGGCTACTTCAGCCTGATATCTGTGGTTGAAACACGTGGTTCCATTGAGGTTTATTGTTGTTAGCTTTCTGTTTAACTAGAACCAATATGAAGACCACTTTCCTTCTCTAAATTTCCCTTAGAGAAATTCTTCTGAGTCTCACCTTTGTAGACACACCCAGGAATGCTTAGAGTTTTTATGTAAAATGGAAATATAGAATGGAGGGTTAGCTCAGTGGCATGGTTGATAGTCTTATGCTAGCATTGCTAAATGAGAACGACTTGGGTCCCAGTGAAATTGACGTGGTCAATTATTTTCCCTTATACATGGGGTCTGAGGGATATATTTTCATGGAGTGTAGAGTAGCTGCCCCAGTCTCTGGAGCTGATACGAGGAGCTGTCTCTGGTGAGGATGCCACTTTAGCTTTTACCTATCCAGGAGCAGTGGGCAAATGGGGTCACCTGGACCCTACCTCACCATCCAAAGCTTCCTGTTGAGCTTAGCTGTCTCAGCCTGCGCGTGTGCATAGTTCATTCAATTTTATGTACCACCACACAATCTAGCTTCTCTGCTCAGGTCTCGGCTACATAGACTGGAAAGTTTTGGATATATATGAGCCAGAACATCCAAACATAGTGAGGTCCAATGGGAATGCTCCCTATACACACATAGACACACACACACAAGACTCCTGCAAAACACAAACTTTTCTGTGCAAATATGAAGTCATCACTAAATGCCTGGAACTCTACAGCAGAGCCTCAAGAAATATGAAAAAAGCAGGACCTGCAATTGGCGTAATGGTTATGTCGCTGGACTTCCATTTAGTTGACTGCAGTTCAAGTCCTGGACCTGGTGGCTTAAACTCATACTGGGTATGTGTGTGCCCAAGATCGTGAGAGGAGAATGGAGGAGAAGATTGTGGTGTGGCCATCCCCCCTGGGGGATGATTTCTCGCTTTTTGTCTGCCTTTCTGGCAAGTGCACGTGCTCCATAGCAAAAATCTCTCAAAATTAAAAAAAAAATTAAAAAAAAATGAAAGCAGAAAATGCCCCCACCCCAGGAACACTAACTCCCCATCAATAAGGGGTAAAACATAAGAAATTACAGAAATGTCAACAAAATAGGGCTGGCAGGTGGTGTAGTGGTTAAGGGCACTGGACTCCCATGTGGTCGACCACAGTTTGAGTCCCAGAGACCTGGCGACTTGCTTTCTCACTTTCTCTGTCCCTCTCTAGTCAAATTAAAAGTTAAGTAAAATCTTAAAAGTCTGCAAAAGAATTCAGAATATTGTAACTACACTTGAAGAGACTAAGAAAACAGAAAACTAATCTCAGATGAGAACATTTCATGACTTCAGAGGAACTCTAAAAAGGGATAGATATGAAAAAAGAATCAAATAGAACTTCTGGAGTTAAAGGATATAATCTGGGGATCAAAACCTCCCTGGAAAGTATTCCCCTACTAGACCACGGGAAGAAAGCCTCTGATCTCAAAGGCAAAGTTTCCGACTTAAAGCAACTGAGAAGAATGAAAAATGAGGACAACATACGGGAAATCCTAGATACCAGTAAATGCCTGAGTATTTACATCCTGGTTATTCCAGAAGGTGAAGAGATGGGTAAAAGACTAAAAAACCTCTTTAATTATACATTGGTTGAAAAACTTCCAAACTTGGAAAGGCATATGGAAATCCAAATTCAGGAAATAGAATAGATTTAATATAAGATCCACCTAAGTTTAACATAAGAGCCTCTCCAAGGCATGCTGTAGCCAAGCATAAAAATAAGACGACAGGCTTTTTGAGAATGTGGCTTGTGCTTCATGGGTACATGTGTCCGGGTGTTTGTGTTCCCTGCAGATATGGGGGTGAGGGAGTTCATTTGATTATTTGATGATGAAGTTTTGAAATAAAGCTATAGTTCTTTTACTAGCAAAAGTTAAAGGAAAACAGGCTGACCCTGGGGTATCTTAGTGTCTTGGTCAGTATTACCTAGGTCTTCTGTCAGATCTCATGTTCCAAAAGGCCAGAGAGTGAAGAATCAATGTGTCTTTTTTTCACAGAGGGGTGGTGGCAGAGATGAATTTATTGATGGTGGTACACTCTAACTTCAAGCTCCTTTTGGACAAAATGTAAAGAGCGTTCTCATTCTTCAGGATAGTATAGAAACCTGTAGTAACAAATTACATCAAAGGTCCTGTAACGCTTCCTAGGTCTCTACTGAGTTTAGTCTAGGCTGGGCTTCTGATGTTCCTAACAGCTAAGAGCTCTACAGCTAAGAATTTGCAGGGGGTGCATAAAGCTTCATTAAGGTGGGGAGATCATACAACACACCTGCTTTTCCAGCCCCTTGGGATTCGGTTGCCAAGTCTAGAGTGGGGAATCCCTATGTCGGCATGAGGGTTCTAGAACAGAGGCAGGCCTGTGGTTCTGAGCGGTGGTGGGTCCACTCAGCTAGAGCGGATACTTGGACATCCAGGGGAGCTGCCACAAGCCATCCCTGGTGTTAGAGCAGAATCTCACGTTACTGGGGCTACTTCTGCGGCAGGCTATTTGGTCTCAAATTGATCAGCTGTAGAGTCAGACTAAAGATGAAAGGCGTATAGACTACATTGTACCTCCTTAGAAATGTTGAAGGCCATTTGCTATCTGTCATGTGGAACTGGAAATTTTCTGGGGAAGAATGGGGAAGCAAGAATTCATCTTCCCATTCAGAGCAATAGAGTACTGCCCTGTAGTTAGTTTCCATCTGCCTTCCAAGCACTGTTACCCAGGAATCCTACCTTAACCCAAACAGTCGGAAGAATCCTAGCCGGATATCCCATGTGAAGGCAAGTCCGTGCCTATTGAGAAAAAGCTAGTAGCGACCTCTCCATCTGGCTCACTGGACCCGATGGCTTCAAAATGCAAATGAGAGCATTTGAGCTGATCTTCCTCTGAGGGAGATGTTTTCTCACTCCAGGACGTTGAGGTGTGTGACTCCACTGGACATTGTTCACTTTCTGTACAAGCTCTTCCTATGGGTGGGTGGTGGGTGGTGGGTGGTCCTGTCAGGGAGGAGGTAGTCCTCTCCCACTCTGGCTGTGAGAGAAGGTGGCAGGATCAGACAAGCATTCAGGGCCAGTGGCTGGAGCAGACACATTGAGTTCCGCGTTGTGGACAGCAGATGGCAGCACTCAATCACACAGGAGAACTCGGTGCTTCCTGGGACACCTTGGCGGGGTTGCCGCCTAAATTGTGTAGCTTCTGAGAGTTTTCTGGAGAGAATGAACCAGCAGTGACTGCTTAGAGGAGATATGGGACATACAGCCCTGGATGCAGGCAGATTTTTGGGAATGAGAATGGGTTAAGCTAGAAGGAAAACATCTTTCAAGCAGATGCCCTAAAGCAGAAACTGAGCTGGAGAAATAGAACCTCAATGGGGGACAAGCTGAAGGGTTAAAGTAACGTACCAGAGACAGGAGTTGGCTCTTACCGAGGCACTTGATTGGATGCCACAATAGTGGATAATGCTATTTTTCATAAGTACCTGGGCTTGAGCAGCACAGGAACTTTTCCAGAGCCACCATGGTGATCTCACTTTTCTCTCAATTATAGGGAAAAATCTTCATCAGAAATAAGCTTATGGCTTGTCTTCTGTGCTCACTGCTGGTATGTACTACTGCATACAGCTTTTCCTCAAACATATGAACCTTCCTAGGCTCATCTAATTTTTTTCCTACTGTTGGATGATCATGATAGAGCACAGCAAACCAAATGATGTGCGCAGGCGTTGCTGGCCTGTGGACAAACTCTAGCACATCTGCACTCATCTGCAGGGGGTTTGCTGCCGAGCACCTACAGGCACCTGTCGGCATTTTCCATTCACACAGTGACTCTTGGGTAGAAGTTCTGCCAGTAGAGATGATTTCAGATGGCAAGGATTACGACTATTTGAACATCTGGTTCATGACAAACTTGATCAACTGTTGACTATTCTAGAAAAGCTGGAAGCTTTTAAGACCATGGCCATCATGCTTTATACTTGTCCAGATGGCTCTTAGAGTCTCATGTGACTTTTTATGTCCTTAAGGGTTAAGGTCTGCATGTGACCACATCTGGAACTTCTATATAAACTTCCCCAAGTGTCATTAAGTTTAGGCCTTGGAGTAGATTTTGAGCCTACTACTCCAGACATGGTCCAGTGTTTTTTTTTTTTTTTTCTTTATGGACACAAATTCACAAACAAGATACAACTGTACTTTTTGTCTCATAGAAGGCTCAGCAGTATTGAATTGATCATTTCACTCTGGGTACCCCACTGGTGGGCAGATGGATATCTGGTGCCTCCTTTCTCCTACCAGTTCAAAGGTTCTGGGTTGGGATCTTCCTCAGAATTGCTGTGTAAAACAAGTTACTAAACTATCTGGACCATGGTGAGCACATAGTAGGCTGTTTGTTCATGCAAGACCTAGAACCAGCTTTGGCTTTTTTGACCTTTGTGTGTCTAGTCTGCATAG